GTGTGTGTGTGTGTGTGTGTCTGTTAGCGCAATAACTCAAGCAAAAATGATCCGATTTCAATAATTTGGTACAAACGTGTAAACCTACGTTTATTTGAACGAGTTCGCGAACCAGCATAGTCGGACCATTGGAAAACGGGGTTTTATATGTTGCAATTTCTTGCAAAAAAATCTTGCAATTTCTTTAGCTTAAAAAAAGAAATAATTTAGTATATTGATGCGCTGTTGTATGCCTAACGGTCACGGAGAAAATTCAAAAATATTGTAATTTAATTTAAACTGTTGTAGTTTACTTGTTTGTGGATATATTGTTATTGTTTATTGGATATACAGTATGTTTATAAAATTTGGCAAATTTATTTTTTTCATCCTACACTATTGGATGTATGGTCAAAAAACACTTTTTACCTTCCCTGTAGCAGCAAACCTAAATTGGGAATAAATATGTCTTATTTATGGAAATATTTTAGTAATAATGTAATCATACAAGTTGAAATTTGCTTAGTCTGCAGGTTTTCTGCGGTGGGGGTATTTTCTTAGGCTGTAACTCCTAAACGAGTAGCTTTATAGAAAAAAATGTCAAGAATAAAAAAGTGTTAAAATAGCATGTTCTATCCGAAAACATGATAAAGCTAGGGTCTTCTATAAGAAATTTCTATAAGAAAGTTGGCCGCCATATTGGATAATGACAGCTGAATTTCAAAAAACGAAATTCATATTTTTAACTGCCACAAAAATAAAGGAATGTCCCCGATTTAAAGTTTTCTCTAATTCTTACCCTTCCTGATATCCCAATGGTGGCCTCTTTGAGTTGATCACCCTGTATACTAAATACTAAACAAAAATCATTTAATGAATATAGATGTCTCTTAATAACCACATGTTTTTATTTAGAGTGATAATATTCCTTCCTCGTGTTGAAAATGCTCAAAATTTAATGTAAAAAAACCGTTGATTCTATGGAAAATAAGTCAAAATCATTTATTGAATATATCTGTCACTTATTGACCACATGTTTTCATTTAGATTGATTTTTTCGTCCCTCATGTGTAAAAGGTTCAAAATTAATATACAGTACAACCCCTGTTAACCGAATTTGGGTTAACCGAAATGGTTCTATAAAATAATATAGGGCTGTAAAATGCTTTAATAGCTTCAGTTGTCTGGTTTAATGTCTAATCCCATGGTAACATTTTTGTAGCTGAAATAAAACACTGAATTATATAGACCTTCTCTTAAATTCATTTTTCCTACACACTGTGGTGATAAATTGGCTATTTTTAGCATATTATGGGTTAACAAAAAATTGGTTTTCCGAAAATGGCTCTCCCTCCTTTATTTTGGGTAACCGGGGTTGTACTGTAAAAAACTTTGATTCCATGAAAAATAGATAAGTTTTACAAGGAGACTCAAGTGCAAAAATTTGACATTTTAATAGGGCTCGCAACTTGTTTCCAAGGCGTCATTTAATGCAATACCCTTTTACTTTTCAAAGATTATTTTTGTTTAACCCTTAGCGGTCGGAGGGCCACTACGTGTGGCCACAAGATCCGTGACGTGACAAGTTGTAATATATATACGAAGCGACGCGCCAATAGCTCGGCAGGGCCACTCGTAGTGGCCCCCGCCTCCTTCCATGGTTTGGCCGCCATTATTACTTCTCTTGTTTACGTCTTACGCTTGGATTTAAATACCGTGTGGCGAGCATTTCAACTCCAAAACACTGAAGTTTAACCTAACATATGACTGTAAAGTCGGTCATCATTAGGATTCAATTATGTACACTTGTATTTAATAACAACTTAATTACTCAAATATTAAAACGTTTATAACAATTAAATTATTAATAATCTTCAATAAAATAAAAAAGCAAAGTATCTTTTATGGTTGAAACTGATTAAAAACAATGAAAATGGTTCATTTGCAATGAAATATTAAAAAAAACTACAAATCAAAATATTTTTGACAAGTTATACGATTATCATACAGTATTATGCAAATTACCAGCTTTATTATGACTTTAGTGGAAAGTAGAAAGAACATAGACAGTATATAATATTACTTTTAAATCTATGTACTTAAACAAAATAATATTAAGAAGTATATTGGATAAAAACCGTTAAAATACCTGCAAAAAACTATACAAAACTAAAATTAAATCATTATTGCCTAAAATTTACAAATGAAGGATAAAAAAATTAAGGATACAAAATTAGTAGTTGAAGGATAAAATTTACACATGTATTAAATAAAGACTTACAATGCATATAAAAATAATTAGACATCACATTACTTGAGTTGATTTAGACCAGTTTGTATTTCTTTAGTGTGTGATATCGGAGAAAGCAGTCTCCTGGGTGTAAGCCAGGTTTATTCTCATAGGTCTTGCAGTAAAATCTGGTTCGTTTACGCTGTCCAGCTGCTCTATTTGTACAAACAGCACAGTCATTCTTCGTAGTTCCCTCCAGCTCATAAATGAAGTGTGTTTTTCCATCCAGGCGGTCTCCTTCAGTGGTATATGATGGGCGTCCACGTTTCCTGCTTGTGTTTCTTACATCACCCACTAGCTGATTCACAAGTTGTTTACGGAACATCTTTTGACGCACAGCTGGTCTGCCAGGGTCTCGGTTGTTGTTGTAAATTATGAATCCATTCACAACAGCAACTTCAATTAGCCAAAAACATATTTTACGCCACCATTTTATTGATTTTCTGGCGAATGAATAAGTAGCTATGTAATGGTCTGCTACGTCTACGCCACCCATGTTTTCGTTATATCTGTAAACAGCTGTAGGTTTCTGAACAACTTCTTGATTTCCACCCTTAACGAATCTCTTTACTTCTTCCACCGAGTTGTCATACAAAGAAGTTATCATTAATACTTCCCTTTTATCTTTCCATTGTATTACAGATAGATGGTCACCTTTTCTAAATGCATTGATATCGCTTTTTTTCAATTTTTTCTTTTTCTTAACTGCTAGAGGTAGCCCTTTTCGTTTCCTATCTAACGTTCCAGTAAAGTGAACTTTTTTTTCGTACAGAACCTCGGCTAATTCTGGGCTAGAGTAAAACCGGTCGGTAAATATGTGCAACCCTTCAGCACTTCCTATAGACTGTCCAACTCTGTCAACAAGAGTCAACACAACTCGAGTTGTTGTCAGTAAATCTGGCCTAACAAGTAGGTTGTTTGTTGTTTGCCCCAGATATGGTTCTATTGCACACACATAACCATTACTCGAGTCAGACAGAACATAGACCTTAATGTGCCACTTTTGAGGCTTATCCTTATTATAACATTTAATTATTTATTATAACATATATTATAACATTTAAATAATACTTTTCCTTTAAACCCTACAGTACTCTCATCTACGCTAACTTTGCTGCCTGGACAGTAATATTCTCTAAACTTCATGTCAAGATAATTAACAACATGTTTCACTTTAGCAGAGCGAGAGATTGCACCTAATATTGGTCTGGTTGGAGGTGTAGAAAGGTGTAAATTCCAAAAAATTTGTAAAAATCTCTCTTTGGAAAATATGTCTTCAAAAAAAGGTTGGTTTTCCAACCAATCGGTCGAAAAATAGTCGTCGATATCAGGCTTTAGGTGCATGCCCATATTAATTATGATCCCCAGAAATGCCTTGAACTCTACTACAGTAATATCCTTCCATGTCCACCACATGGATTTTTTTGGTAAGGGTCTCATTTTATTTATTTTATCTTGAGCATATCTGTTACTTTCATTAACAATCTCTTCTAACAATTCATCAGTGAAAAATAGTTTGAAATACTCAATTTCTGAGTTTCGATCAAAATTTGGTGGTTGTTTGAATCCACTCAAAGCTTTATATTGAAATTCACGGAAACTTACATCATCATCCTGCCACTCTCGCCATACGTCAGCTGCAGCAGCTTCTACAACATCAGCTACATGTTGATCGTGTTCACCCGCGTTAACTTCGCTAATATTGTCTTCTAGTTCACTATCAATGTTCGCATTTCCTTCTATATCATTATCACTTATTCAAAATCCACATCACTGTCATGTTGACTGTCAATATCACTAAAAGTACATTCAATATTTTCGTCACCACCCTCAACCCCTACTTGCTGATCTTCCTCTACACCTTCGATCTCAAACAACATGGAAAGATCGTCATCTTCGTCGACTTGTAATAGATCCCGTATAGTATCGGATGTTAAGTCTCTATTTGAGGCCATTTATAAATCATAAATATCAATTTATTAAAAATGTAAAGCCATTAAAACGACTGTTGCACAGTACAAGCTGATTACTCACTAAGGAAACACTTGCCAATATGGTTATAACCTACGAAACCAACGGCTTTTTGTTGTCTCCAGATAGTTCCGATTGTTCAGATAGAACAACTTGTCAAAGTTAGTGAACTTTACAGTTAAAGTTCACTAACTTTGACAAGTCGTTGCCCTTGATTGCGTAAGCATAGACATTTTTTAAAAAGCAAACTTAGTAGAACCACTCTTTATGTACAAAATTGTGTTTGGTTCACAATTTAAATGTTAAAACTAGAATCGCTATATGATACCGCTCGAAGCGGTTTTCTGACGTTTTTCGGCGAGGGTAGGGAACCCTCTTAAGAATTTAAATTAGGTAATTGTTTAGATTTTATATTAATTGTTTGTTATGTCATTCCCTGGTGTTTTTATATTTTGTTATTGTTTTTATCTATAAATATTCTATTTTTCAACGTACCTTTTACTTAGAATAGGCTATTTACATACATTATATGCTTGTAACTTTGTCAATTGCACACATGTGTTTAAAGACAATAAAAATCTTTGACTTTTACTTTGAAAATTACCTTTTAATGTACCATTCGCCCCTCTGCTAGATCGTAAGATTTTAAATGACACCTCAACTGTAAACACTGGTTAAGTAGGACGGTTGAAAAAGGGATATTTCAGAAAAAACCCTTACTTTTTTAAGTATAAAATATAAAATATTTATTGTTTACCAGGTAATCAGCTGTTTCACATTGGCCATCACCACATACAACTATGAAGGTTACGGCCTCATGGCACTTTTAGTGGAGGTAAACAGCGTATTTCTTCACATCCGCCAGCTTATGATCATACAGAATTGGAATCGTAAAACTTTTGTATACCGCCTTAACAGCTCCCTTAACCTCGGTAAGTATCCAGTTTGAAATCTGTTGTAACTTAAGAGTAATTTATGTCTGTATAGAAAAATCTATTAACTGTCTCTCATGGAACCTTGACTAAGAGAGTTAACTAAATAGATGGATAACTGGCATTTGAAATTTATTCATAAATTACTAAATTAAAAAAAAAACTAACACAGTGTACTTGTGTTTACACATTGTATTATTTTATTTACAGTATATACAAGTAAAGTACATTTGTTCTTATTTGGCTACAGGTGTACTGTGTTTTATTGTTCCATTTTATATTTGACATCTTAAATGAGGAATGTGGCAGTAATCACAATCACAAAACAATCCAACTTCAATATCAGTAGGTTAGTTGGTTTTTCAAATATTTGTAGACTTATGGATATTAATTAACTATCCATGATTATTTCACTCGATGTGTATACACAGTTTGTCACCACAATTGTTGTTCACAGGCACATTTGTTGTGTTTCGTATCTTGACGATGGGTTGGATGACAAGATGGTTGATTCAGCACCGCTATGACCTCACAACCTTTGCCTTCAAACTAGCAGGAATTTGTAAGTCTTGAGAACAATTTGACACTAAAGCTTTCAGTGTAGGAATGTAGGCATTTTCAGATTATGACGCCTAGCTGTGTTGTGTTAAAGTAACAATCCTTTTTATGCATAAGACAAAGGAACAGATAGAGTAGGAGTGCGAAAAAAACTTCGTAAGGTTTTCATGCTGTATCAAATTTTTACTTTCTCGTCCTATACATAGTATATGGAGAGAGTATTGTTGTCGTCAAATATTTGATTTTATGTTTAAGATGAAAATATCCAATTTTGGGCCCCCCTCAAGTCTGAACCCATAAAAGTGGCTATTGAAGTGTGTGGATGTGTACCTACAGACTACATTTGTGGTCCGATTTTGATGAATCTTTGCATGTGACTTTGATCGGACCATGGCAATGGGGTTTTATGGGGTAAAAATTGGTTTTTCTCATTTTTACCCTCACAACAGAACATTTCCCAATTTCTCTCTAGACCATTTTTAAGAGCTCAAAAAATAAATAATTTAGTATGTTAAAGTTTTTTTGTACGCTTATTAGTTACGTAGAAATTTCAAAATTTGTAAATTTAAAATCCCTATGTTATTTTTATGGAGAATTTTGTAAACTGTTGCAGTTTCCTTGATTATGAATATATTTTGATCAAACTTGGTAAATTTATTTATTTTATTCCAAACTATTAATATTCTACTAAAAACACGTTTTATTACCCTCCCTGTAGCAGCAAACCAAGGTACTCATTAAACCTAATGTAATTTTAATAGATTTAATTGAAAGTCAAATCAGGCAAATGGAAATTCGCTTAAGCTACGTTTCCTTTACTACAAGTCGCAGGCACAAGTCGCGGCACATGTCGAGGCCATGTCGCGGCACATGTCGCACGAGTTTGTCATGCCGTTTCCATTCCAGGCACATGGGGCACAAGTCCTGCGACTACAACTGGCAGACAAGGTAGTTGCTCTCTTATTGTGATGTGGCGAGTTTCGGTGACAAAAACGACCTAGATGGTGGATAAGAAGTTTTTTTGCTAAAAGACCATTGGAAGGCGCATTTAATTCATTGATGAGAGATTTGCACGTACAAAGTGGCTTCGAAAATTTCCTCCAACGAACTCGATTCGATTCGATTCGTTTTATCGTAAGAGCCAGAAACCCTCCGATTACAAACCCGGTACCTATAATTAAACATACATATTTAGTGAGTCGGTGGCTCAGTCGGTAGTGTCGCGGACTTCGGGCCCAAGGCAGCGATGTCGTGGGTTCGGATCCTGGTCACTGCCGATAGCATTTTATCAGTACAGTTCACCTTTGTACTGTACCGGCTCACTCCTTGCTTTGCTGTAAACGATCCACGCACGGGCGCTTAGTCTATGTGGACGGGCAAATGCAAAGTTAAAAGAGGCCGCCAACCTCTTAAAAAAAAAAAAAATACCCGGGCCCCATGATGTAGGCCGAAGCAAATGCACCAACCTTTGGCACATCATGGGAGGATAACTTAAGGTCATCAGGCTCACCGGCTGCCGAAGAAACCCTTCGGAGAGAGGGTTTCCCCTCAATCCTAACCAGGGATACCGGCTACTTGTTTAAGCGTCACTCCACCTAGAATCCACCTGGTACGAAACCCTGAAGAATCGCAATGGAGCGCCCTGACGCATTTAGTGCTAGCAACACTCAGGACCTATCCAATCCCTGACAGGCCAAGACCCACCATCAAAGCCAGGAGGAAGGGGACCAACCACCTATTACCACCACTACCCGATCGAGGTCTTACCCAGTTGCTGGGAAACCAGTGGTGACCAAGGCGATAGATCCCTGAACACCCCCAGCGGGCTTGAACCCAGCACCCGATCTACTTCGTTTGCCCATCAAGCCCAACATCACTGCCAGGCCATCAGGGTTTCCCTAAAGGAGGCAGGAATAGAAGTGGGTCCCACCCGGATGAACCCATCTACCATAGCTGGCGACACCCTTTGCTCAATTGAGGTTCCAGGGAGAACCCCCCCCACCAACAAACTCAAGGAAATTTGAGATTATGATTACCTGTCATCTAGAGTAGTTTGGAGGAACTTGCATGCGCAAGTTGCAGGCTCAAGTGCCCGGCCGTTTCCATTCCAACTGAGCACATGTGCCTGCGACTCGGGCACATGTTTTGTCGGGGCACTTGTGCCGTGACTTATGCGAGGCTGTTTCCATTCCTACAAATTCAGAGATTTGTGCCGGGCACAAATTTGTAGGAATGGAAACGTAGCTTTAGGCTGCAGGTTTACTTCAGCGAGGGTATTTTACAATAGCTATGTATATTTTTAATGTATACATTTCATATAAAAACCTTGGTTTTAAGGGATTTTTCTTGTAGGAGTGCCGCTACAATGGGATATTTGTTTGAAAAAAATTAAACTGACAGAAATCAAACTAAATAATGTTTTTCTCAATAACCGTATTTAGATATTGTAAATTTCTGTATTTCCAATTGGTAGTGAAATATGAGCTTTGAGTGAAAATTGGCTGCCATTTTCCAAGATGGTGGTCTTTGCACAGCATGCATTAATGTTGATTTTTGGTATGTTGTTACTTAGTACTAGTACTACACATGTGCAAACATTAACATTGTTAAACATTACAAAATATTATGAAAATCAGTTGTCCGAGGTTAATTTGTCCGAGGTTTGATAAATAACTAATAATATTTAGATAAATCAACCGTCCGAGTTTTCATCCGTCCAAGTTTATTAAACTATTTTAAATTATATTAAAATATCAGTTGTCCGAGTTTTCATTTGTCCGAGGTTGGTTTAAATAATAATAATATTTATTTGGTTAAATCAACTGTCCGAGCGTTCATTTTTCGAGATTTTAACTGTCTGAGTATTATCAGCGCCAAAAGCGACTCTGCCACCGAGCTGCTAATACAGTCCGCGCAAGAAGCTATCAGACCGACACCGTGCTCGCCATCGTACAGACGGTTAGGTTAGGTAAGGTTAGATTACGTAAGGATAGGTTAGGTTATGTTATGCAAGAGTCCTACTGTTTTAAATTAATAAAAATATCATATAATACTATCATAAAATCAACCAGTAAACGCGCCGTGTAATTGAAATATCCGCTTTAATTACCTGACAACAGTATGATTGCTTCTTGCACCGTCTGTACTTGTGGCTCGGTAGCAGAGTCACTTTTGGCACTGATGATACTCAGGACATTAGAAAACTCGGACAAATGATATTTCAACATTTTTGTAAATAATTTAAAACCTCCGACAAATGAAAGCTTGATAGTTGATTTAACCAAATATTATTTTTATCTAAACCATCCTCAAACAAATAAAAACTCAAAAAACTGATATTTTAATATAATTTTAAATAATTTAATAAACTCGGACAGTTGTTTTATCTAAGTTATTTATCAAACCTTGGACAAATTAGCCTCGAACCACTGATTTTCATTATATTTTGTAATTTTTAACAAACTCAGACAGCTGAAAACTGAGACAACAGAACCTCACCCCTATAAACTGTTCAGCTTTTGACAGCTAGATCAGCTGTTCAGATTTTAAACTGTTAAAGAAAATTGGTCAGCATCACTGAAAATTTAAAAACTAACTAAAAAAAAAATCAAACGCAAGGGGGGGGGGTGAAGCCCTAAAGGAAATTACCTTTTTATTTACCATTCATCACTCTGCTAGATCATAAGCTTTAAAATGACACCTTAATCGTAAAAATCGGGTAAATAGGAAGTCTGAAAAAGGGATGTTAGAGAGAAAATCCTTATTATATAAGTGTATTATAGATTTTGATTTTTACAATGATGAGACATATTTTTGTGCTTAAATAAATTGTTCAAGAGTTTATCTTTGCTTTGTTTAAGTGATTTTGAGAGACCTGACTCATGTGCCTCATTTTGAAGCTGAGGACACAAACTTTTCATTTGCTCCCATTGGACACACCTAACGTTAATGCTCCTCTGATCTGATGTTTAGAAGACGTAACAACAGTGTAGCAACATTACAAGAGAGGCTTCATATGACTGTATAAAGAGAAGGACTATATGTGAATAAACACACAACTCCATTTGCTGCAGCAAACTACATTTTAAATATATCACATTTGTTCAACAACAGTCAGTGAGTCAACGTTAAACAGTTTGAGTGTTTTATGCCCTCAGTGTACTTTAAATTATGATATACAGTTCAGGGGGATGAAACCTGTTTATGTTTGTACCCTTAAAGTGTTCTAGTTTCAATAAATAATGTCTTGATACTTTAGAAATGGACAAGTAGAAATAAACATTACACACATTTGTTAGCTGGTGTACACAAAACCCTTAATGTAGTAGCTCTTTGCTCATATCCTGGTTGCAGCACTAGTTAGGGTATTTTGTCTTCTTAAGCTCTTTTAAACATTCTTGCCACCAAGACTGATTGTTCGAATAATATCTACTATTTGATAATATCTACTATCATAGATTAAAAGAAGTAGACACAGATACCCCACGAGATAGGGAAGTCGCGAACGCCGTATTTGAGCAAGTGCAGTCGCTGTTTTGGCTTTGCAGGCCCGCAGCGTTGCCAATTCGTGCAGCGCAGGGACGGCGGAAACTCCCAGATTCCCACGGACAGAGTGAGAGAGACTGATGAATGGCAGTGGCCGCAAAACAGTAGTATGCATGCATCGTAGCGGCCCTCTCTACAGTTGACACTACACCTGATACGACTTGTGTCCATAGCATCTGAGCTACTCACTCCGAATATTAATATTATTAATATGAAATCGATTAAGTTCATTGTTTAATTTATATTTCAACCTGCAAACGAGAAATATATCTTGATTACTTTAAGTACCGGGGGAGTTTATGTTGATTGTAAAAGCAATATGAAGAAAACTCTCGTTTTAAAACAACTAATTTTGAATTTTATTATTTAAGTTTCAGTGTAATTTTAATTTATTATTAACTAGCTGTTAACCCACAGACTTCACCCCGTTTTAATTCATAATTCATAAGTATTAATAAA